GTGATCTGAGAAATCTGAAAGGCTGGGGACCCACTGAGCTAGCTTGCACACGGCTCTTGGTGAAACCTGGCCTGGGGTGGCGGGGGGTGGGGGGGGCGATGTTTTTAATTGAGAGATGAATCGGAACAGCTGAAAGCTTCTCTGGGCTGGGGGAGGAGGGGCTGGGTTCTTGGTCCCTGCAGCCCCAGCCTAGGATATCCCCAGGAAACCTGAGCAGAAGGAACATTCACGTAGCTGTACTGGGAATTCTGAGAACGGCCCAGGGGCCAGTTCCCCATGCCACACGCCATCTGCTCATCCCTGACTGGAGCCAGGAGGAAATGTCCCCTTAAACCGCACCTCTGCCCTCGCCCAGCACCCCCAAGGCTGGTTCCAAAATAGTCCAGGCCTTTGGAGGAGACATCATGAGTCGGGCTGGCTGCCTGTCCCCTGAGAGGACATGGCAGTAACACTGTGGCCGAATATAGAGGGACAGTAGACGCTGACAGGGGCCTGGGGCCAGGAGAGCCTTGCATGTTCCACGGTGCCTGCCCCACTCCCATCCCTTCTACGCCCTGCACCTCCTAACCTGGACAGCTGGGAGGCTGGCACCCCTCTCCCGGCCTGGTCCAGCCCAGCCCACCTGGAGACATGTCCTAACAAGCCCAGGCAGAACAGAAGCCTGGCCTAGGAGGGCCCAGGGCCTGGGCTGGGCATGAGCGTGGGGATACCTCTCTCTGGGGACTCAAAGCATTTTATAAGCTTAACTTCCCACAGGGCACTTCGAGATCAGGAGCCTGAGAGGAACCGGGGTGTCTGCGGCAGAGCCACTCCTGCTGTCTGTTCTCAGCTTCCGAAGGAGAACAGGGCCATAAAGCTGGGGTGTGGGAGGCTGAGAGGAGGGCAGGAAGCCAGGCCAAACCCCAATAAACTGCTGGTTGAATCAAATCACAAATAATGAGTCCCGATGGCCAAGGTTGCCTCCACCCTCCTCTCCTGGGAATTAAAAGTCAAAGGGCAGAGCTGCTGACGCAGATGTCAGGGGAGACAGGAGGTTTGGAACAGCTGGGACTCAGCTCCCAGCTCCACCGCCCGAGGTTGCAGGCCCCAGTTGCCCTGGACACAGTGTTCCCCAGGCGGGCCTCTAGAGCTGCATTCTCAACTCAGGCGCAGGGAAGGGGGCTCTGCTCCCTCACCCTTCCCCGGCCCTACGTGCAACAGAACTTGACTCAAGGTTAATCAGGCTGCCCTGAGAACTGTCGCCAGATGACAGCCTGGGAGAAGCAGTTGTCAGCCTCTCTCCCTCCCACCGCTGTAACAGGAGGAAGAGACCTCTGACTCCGTGTCGAGGGGGAGCCTGGCCTCTGAAACCCGCTGCGCCCCTTCCCCTCGGTCGGCCCCCGCCCCGGCTGAAGGCAGACCCTGAGCGGCTGCACCAGATCTGTGCACCAGTGGTGACCCCCAGTGGTCAGTGCGGGACTTGAACTTGAGCCTGGGCATGGCTGCCGCAGACTCTTCACCGCAGCCTCAGCCCATGGCTGGTGACTTGGGAAGCCCCGCCGCGTGAGTGGTTTGGGGATCGGATTTTGGTAAGGCTGTTGTTGGCGTTTAGAGGCATTTCATGGGTGCTGATTTTCCTAATTGAACTGTGGCTGGATCTGGGCCTGTCAGCAAATCCATGTCCACATGCCTAAGAAGGAATTCATCATCTTCTAGCCCTAAACCAGCTCCTCCTCCTGACTTCCCCATTTCTATTAATAGCACCGCCACCCTCCAAACCTCCGAGTCATCTGCAGCCGCTCCCCACACTGGGCGGGGTGCCTGGTCCTGCCCCTCCTCCCTCCGCAGGTCACCCCTGCATCCCTCTCCTGGACACTCATAGCCTCTCACTAGCATCACTGGCATCCTCAACAATGCTGCTGGGTCAGACCTGGGCAGGGGACCCACCACTCCTCCACTTACTGGCCTTGAGACCCTGGACAAGTCACTTAAACTCTCTGAGTCTCAGCTTCTTCAGTTGTAATGTGAGGCTAATAATCACAGCCCCTCTCTCATAGGGCATTGCATGAATTAAATGATAGGCCAGGTGTGGTGGCTCACACCTGTATCCCAGCACTTTGGGAGGCCCAGGTGGGTGGATCACCTGAGGTCAGAGGACTCTAGAGCTGGCCTTTTGTTCTGGGTCCTAGAATGCCACGATGGTGGAGGAGCAGAGTGGAGAAACCTCAATATTTCAGGAACTTCCAAGTCCCTGGCTTTGTAGCATGTTGTAAGGCTACCTGGGCCTCAGTTTCCCTGCTTGTAAAATGAGAGTGTACATGGTGAAACCCCATCCTTGGCCAACATAGTGAAACCCCGTCTCTACTAAAAATACAAAAATTAGTTGTGCCTGTAATCCCAGCTACTCCAGAGACTGAGGCAGAATGGCTTGAACCTGGGAGGTGAAGGTTGCAGAGAGCCAAGATTGTGCCACTGCACTCCAGCCTGGGCAACAGAGCCAGACTCCATCTCAAAAAAAAAGAAAAAAGAATTAAATGATAGAATAGATATGAAGAACTCTCACATAGAAAATGCTCAATAGGTGTGAATGATTAGAAATCACCCAGTCCAACGCTCCCATTTTACAAGCAGGGAAACTGAGGCCCAGGTGTATTTAACAACATGCTACAAAGACAGAGACTTGGAAGCTTCCTGAAATCTGAAAGCTCCTCCACTCCACCCTTCTACCTTCATGGCATTCTAGAACCCAGAACAAAAGGCCAGCTCTGGAGTCCGCTGGGCCGGCGCCCCTGCTTTCAGGGCAGGGATGCTTGGGTAAGTGTGGCGGTCACTCAGCCACAGGAAGTATGTCCTGGGATGGGGCAACCACAGCTGGTGTCCAGCCGGCTGAGTCAGGGCCACCCATCTGCAAGGTAATGAGTGAGGCTTGGCACGTGGGCTGGCACAGCTGCCCGCCTCAGGACACACAGGGGCGTGCCCACATGGCAGCTGTCCAAAAAGGGCAGCCGCCTCCGCCATTGGCAATCTCACCCTCACCTCTCTCTCCCCAGACACACTGTGTCCCGGTCCCCACGTGATCACACAGGGGTCAGGAGGAAGGAGGGCAGGATGATGTGGCCTCTTCCCATCTGGGTCTGCTTCCTGCTGGGCAGGTGTCCTTAACATTCTCTCCATGAATAAGCATCTGGCACCCACAAACTCCTTGAAATTAAAGGTGGGAGTCTTGTTCCAGGAAGAGGGTCATAGCTGTTACCAGACTTCAAAAGGGACTTTTACTCCCAAAGAGGCAATAGGAAGAAAAGCAAGTGGGCTAGGCACGGCGGCTCATGCCTGTAATCCCAGCACTTTGGGACACCAAGGCGGGTGGATCACCTGAGGTTAGGAATTTAAGGCCAGCCTGGCCAACATGGTGAAACCCTGTCTCTACTAACAATACAAAAATTAGCTGAGTGTGGTGGCACGAGCCTGTAATTCCAGCTGCTTGGGAAGCTGAGGCAGGAGAATTGCTTGACCCCAGGAAGCAGAGGTTGCAGTGAGCCAAGATCATGCCACTGCACTCCAGCCTGGGCAGCAGAGAAAGACTCTGTCTAAAAAAAAAAGAGAGAGAAAAGCAAGTGGACAGGCTTTAGGATCGGGTGATCCAGGTTGAAACAAGGGCCTGTCCTAGAGTCTTCGGTACCTGTTGTCTATGCCAATGGTTCTCAAATAGGGATGATGTTGCCCCGCAGGAATGTGTCTGGAGACATTGGGTGCACTACTGGCATTTAGTGGGCAGAGGCCAAGGATGCTGCTACGTGTCCTGTAATGCACAGGGCAGGCCACACAGCAAAGGGTCTCCCAGCCTCACACGTTAGTACTGGTGAGGCTGAGAACCGTTGGTTGAGGCGTCCTGTCAAATGAGGAAATCTGTGCCCCATAGCCGCCTTGGGGATTAAGGGAGGCAATGTATGAAGAACCCAGGACTGGGCCCGGCACACACTCCATGGCTGCGAGACATGGCAGCTGGCGGGCATGGAGTAGGGAGATTCTGGTTTTCATGAGGGAACTTTCTGAAATGATTTTGATGTGCCTGCCCCACCCAGCCCATGGCGGAGATTCTCTAGGACAGTCCCATGCTCATTTATCAACAAGGAAAACCCTGGCATGGTGGCTCACACCTGTAATCCCAGCACTTTGGGAAGCTGAGTTGGGAGGATCGTTGGAGCTCAGGAGTTCGAGACCAACCTGGGCAACATGGCGAAACACTGATTCTGCAAAAAATACAAAACTCGCTGGGTGTGGTGGTGCGTGCCTGTAGTCCCAGCTACCTAGGGGGCTGATGTGGGAGGATAGCTCGAGCCTGGGAGATTGAGGGTGCAGTGAACTATGACTGTGTCACTGTGCTCCAGCCTGGGTGACAGAGGGGAGACCCTGTCTCAAGAAAAAGAAAAAGGAAAAAACGGGCCCTGGAAGGAGCCAGCCGCCATCGCCCTCTGGACACTCACCATGCCACCCCTCAGGCTCCAACAGGGGAGAGGACGGGGGAGGGAAAGCACCTCCTTCAAGCTCCAGGGAGGCAGGAGGATTGGTTGAGGAGCAGCCCTGTGCAGAGGCAGGGGCATGGCAGAGAACACCTTGGGAGGTGGTGTGAAGCTGAGTCCGAGGGCCACCAGCCCTCCCTGCCACTCAGCTCAGCGGTCACTTGGGTCGCTTCAGCCTTGACAGCCATGGGGTCAAGTGTCTCCTCTACAAAAATAATTCCCAAATAAGTAACTGCCTTCACCTCTGGGACTGGCTGGTGCACCCAAATTGGAGTCACCACCCGGGACCCCTTGAGCGTTGCCTGGCTTATCCAGTGCAAGCGGAATAGCTGACCAGACTACCACAGACGGAGGGAACTGATCTGAGACCGCCTGGAGAGATGGGACCCCGAGGCCCCTTTGTGGCACTACTCACTTGTTGGGTCTGCGGGATTCAAACACACTCCCCATCTCTGGGTCTCAGTTTAACAGGGAGGAGACCACCACCTCCCAAACCTCAGTGCCGTCGTCAGGCTGGGGGTGGCGCTGGGGCTCCTGTGTCTGTGTCTGGAGACGCAGCTGACTCCTGACAAGCCCAGACACGCAGCTGTTCCTGCAGAGGAAGCAGCAGCAGCGGGGGAAGGGCCGAGCGTTGAGGGAGGGGGAAGAGGGACCAAAGGACATCAGAGTGACCGCGTGCAGTGGAGCAAGTGTGAGCTGAGTCCCAGTCTCCAGGTCTCTTCTCCGGGGAAGCATTTTTGTCTTTATTGGAAATTTCCTCCCATGTGACACCTGACCTCTACCTTCTCTTCAACAGATGAGTTCTGCTGCCAATCCCAGCGGGCTGAGACACAGTGACTGCCCACCTGTCCCTGGGTAACCCTTCTACACAGCCCCGTCCCTTCCCAGGGATGCTCAGTGGCTGCGGCCACCCTTGCTTTCTGCCACTCAGCCCTTACGAGGGCTCCAAACCCCAAGAGGGGCAGTGTGGGCTGGGGCTCCTGGGCTCCCTAACGCACGATCCCATCATGCAAGTTCCGGGCCAGGCCCTGAAGGAAAGGGGCCCTGGACCCAAAGGTTCCTGTTCCCCAGAGGCTCCGCCCAAGAACTGTCACTTCTCCAGCCGCTGGCACCAACTCCCCTCCGGCTTTCCTGTCATTTCCCGATGCCACAAACCTTCTGACATCCTCTTCCCCACTGAATTTCTTCCCCAGGCCCTTCCCTTCCCCAACGAGCTTCTCATTGGATGTTCCCAGCTGGTAGGATCTGGAGAAGGCTGGGGGAGCTGTCTCCATGACCCCAGTGGGGGTGAGAGACAGAAGCTTCATCTGGAGCCTGCCGGCTGGAATTTTGGGCATTCATATAGACCTGAGCATCCTGGAACAGCCCTGAACCTGGGCATCAAACTCCCCAGGCTTGAGAATGGTGAGCACTCCTATTAGGCGCCCCTTGCTCCAGGCCTGTGCCCACACCCCTGTGCCCACAGAAGCCCTGTAGTCCATGCTGGCTCTGGCTCATGTGTATGTCATAACCGCCATAAGGCCAATGCGGCAAGCGTCCCTTTACTCTGTGCATTCCAGCTCCCCACCCCAGCTGGGGCAGCCTCGCCCATCCCGCCCCCTCGCTGTGCCATGTATCAGGTGGCTGGGATCATGCCCTTCCACCTTCTCCATCAAGAGGATCCAACAGCATCTTGCAGCTTACATTGGGGTGTGGGAGTGAGGGCAACAAACATGATACCCACTTTTATGCCCTAATGTTTAGAATCATGGGGCAGAAAAGCATCCCAGAACTCATCTAGCCCGACTGCCACTTTACAGAAAGCAGGACAGAGAGAAAATGAACAGCCTAAAACTCATGTCTACTCAGGGCAGCTGGGACAGGGGTCTGGTTTCCCAGTGTGGAGCCCACAGTGTCTAGATATGCTGGAACTCGGCACGTCCCCCTGAGAGTTAGCTGCAGAGGTGGTGTGTGGGAGAGGAGGCTGGAGAATAGGCTTGGAGGTTTCGTCCAGGCACACAGATTCTCTCTCCCTAATCCTGAGCCCCTCCTTTTCTCCCTTTCAGCAGCAGTTATAAAATCCAGGAAATAAATGTGGATTGATGGCCTATAAAGGGCTTAGTTAGTGCTGTGACCTGCTGAGTTACGTAACTGCTATTTATTATCAGCCTTGGATGAAGTTTCCATTGAAGCAACTCACTAAGCTGATTCTGTGACATTTCCTTCAGCCTTGTTCAGAAGCAGCAGCCACAGAAATTCGTCTGAAACTTCAAAGACTAGAAATTGGTGGCATGAATGCTTTTAAAGATTCCCTTCTTTCATCTTTTTTTTTTTTTTTTTTTTTTTTTTTGAGACGGAGTCTTGCTCTGTCACCCAGGCTGGAGCGCGGTGGTGTGATCTTGGCTCATTGCAACCTCCACCTTCCAGGTTCAAGTGATCCTCCTGCCTCAGCCTTCCAGAGTAGCTGGGATTATAGACATGCACGACCACACCTGGCTAATTTTTGAATTTTTAGTAGAGATGGGGTTTCACCATGTTGGCCAGGCTGGTCTTGAACTGCTGACCTCAGGCGATCCTCCTGCCTCAGAGTCCCACAGTGCTGGGATTACAGGTGTGAGCCACTGCGCCCAGCCCCTTCTTTCATCCTTGGGGCCAGTGTTTCTCTCATCCATATCAACCCTGTTCATCTCAGCCACAGTCCCAGGCTCTAGGTCCTCAGGTCCCTGGGCTAGGTGGGGGCTGAGAGAAGTTGTTTTCCTGCCTCTGGCAAAGGAAAGGGGTTGAGAAGCACCCAGGGTATGAGAATCTGGAGCAGCCAGTGGAAAATGCACTGAATGAAGTCAAGATTCTAGTCCAACCTCTGCTGCCACTCTTGGTCTCAGCTGGCTTATTAGTAAAGTGAACTGCTTCCCTCAGCTGTACAACTTGACCCTCCCTAGTACAGCACCCTCCTTGGTCTGGCTTGCTGTCATGCTGGGGTCACCAGCCCAGTGAGGATGAAGGGGAGGGCTGAGGGGCTGGCAGGCTCTGGGTGCTGGCAAGTGGAAGGGAGGAAGGTTAACACCAACATGGCGCCACCGTGTGTTCAAAAGGGAGCAGAGCTGGGCCTCTCCCCAGCAAGGCAGCTTTCCTCTCCCCAGCCCCTTTCCTGCTCTGAGAGGAGGGGGTGGTGGTGGGAAGCCAAGGATCCTCCCTAATTCAACTTCACTTCTCAGCCATTCACTTTAGCTGCCAAAGGAGCCCTTGGGAGAAGCTCCCTGAAGGCTCTAATGCCATCCTAAAGTAGATTTTTGGAGGCTTCCAAAAGGTTCAAGAAGAAAAAGACCCAAAGGAAGTCCAGGACCCAGAGAACGCAACAGTGTCTCTCTTCCTAATTAAGACACATTCCTCTCATTCATGGACGTGCTTCCTTGAGGCCTCGGAACAAACTGGTGCGTCAAACAAGGCCTTTGGTACCGAGTGGTACAGGCTGCATGATTCCCTCCATCAAGGATCTGGGCATGTTGTGAACATTGGGATCTGGCTGGGCATGAAGGCTGCTAGTCCACACAACCCAAGCTGCATTGGAAGAGACGGCCCACCCTCAAAGGACGTAACCTTCACCATAGCCTTACAGGGCATCCAAGCCAAGTCCGTGCTTGTCACCAAGGACAACTGGGGACCCAAAGAGATGAAATGACTTTTGATGGAGCAGTGGTAGGGAGGGACTAGAATCTAGAGTTTTTTTTTTTTTTTTCTTCTTCTTCTTAAAATAAGTCTTGCTATGTTGCCCAGGCAGGTCTCAAACTGGATTTAAGCAATCCTCCTGCCTCAGCCTCCCACAGTGCTGGCCTTTTTACTTATTATTTTTTTAGAGATGGGATCTTGGTCTGTTGCCCAGGCTGTTCAGTGGCATGATTTTGGTTCACTGCAGCCTCAACCTCCTGGGCTTAAGCAATCCTCCCACTTCAGCCTCCTGAGTAGCTGAAACTACAGGTGTGTGACAACTATGCCCAGCAAATTTTTTTTTTTTTTGTAGAGATGGGGGTCTCACTTTGTTGCCCAGGCTGGTCTTGAACTCCTGAGCTCAAGCAGTCCTCCTGCCTCAGCCTCCCAAAGTGCTGGGATTATAGGCATGAGCCAGCCACTGAGCCTGGCCCCAAAACCTACAGTCCTTTATCATGATATGGTTTTTGAGATGCTGACTTCCAGCTCACATCTTAACACCCCAGAGGAGTCTGGGAAGAAACAGCTGTCAGTGTGGGGTCCCAGAAATATGGCATTAATATGGGTGGGAAGGTCTGATAAACCTTCAGTTGAGTGAAGCCTAGGACTGGGTCTTTAAATCAGCCAAGGCCTGCCTAGAGGCATCTGCCCAGTTTCTGCTCTCCAGCTAGGCTCCTTTAGGAAGAATAAATGTTTGAGATGTCTCTAAGAATCACATGCCACATTTCTGCTTCTAGTTTCCTTATGAACAGCTCCAGGCAAACTCTCCAAGATAGAAATGTAGACTGCCTACACAGTAAAAGCCTGCTTGCTCAGAAGCATACCCGGCCAAAATGCAACAACGGGCAAATAGCCGAAAATGCTCTCCTGGATTTGGAACTCAAACTGTCGCTGGTCTGGGGCTGGCCAAAGGCAGAGGAAAGTCAGCCTGATGAGAAAGAACAGCATGAAAAGAAATCGAGGCCTCCGTGGGGGAAGGATACAGATATCTGTTGAGTAATAGTTCTTTACTTGATCTCATTGGTTCTTTCCGACAATGCTGTGGATAATAGACCATTATGACTGATGAGGAAATTTGGCTGGGGGTGGTGGCTCACGCCTGTAATCCCAGCACTTTGGGAGGCTGAGGCGGGTGGATCACCTGAGGTCAGGTGTTTGAAACCAGCTTGGCCAACATGGTGAAACCTCGTCTCTACTGAAAATACAAAAATTAGCCAGGCATGGTGGTGGGCACCTGTAATCCCAGCTACTTGGGAGGCTGAGGCAGGAGAATCGGTTGAACCTGGGAGGCAGAGGTTGCAGTGAGCCGAGATCGTGCCATGGCATTCCAGCCTGGGCAACAAAAGCAAAACTCCGTCTCAAAAAAAAAAAAAAAAAAAAAAAAAGACCTATGAGGAAATCAAGTTTCTGAGACACCATTCCACTGTCTTTGGGTATCTCTGCACCTGAGACGTCCTGCAAAAATTTTAATCCCACTTCATATAAAAGCCATGTTTTGGGAACCTCAAGGCGACAGCCCTTTCTTCCAAAGACCCCTCTGGTGTGATATGTGAGACAGAATTTTGCATTTTTGCTTGGGAGGAGTGATGCTAAGCTTTTTAATCCTGCAGAAAAGCATACAACCATCCTCGCCACTGTTCCACACCGTTGTACATCTGATGAAGCTAATATCTTATTTGGTCCTTTACATCTGCTCTACCCACTTACATCCTTTACCATAAAGTGTTATGAGCAACAGAGAATAAATGTTGTGATGGCATCTGAAAATGTCAAATTTACCACTCTTTCATGTTTCAATATGCCCCTCAACGTGCCTCCATAGAATGAAATTCACTCTTAGATGCAAAAGAGAATGAGTTCTCTTGTGTTTAATTTTCATGGAATACTCCTTTTCCTTAAAATGGGGGGTGGGGTGAGACAACAGAGAACAGAATTCCCCAAAAGGTCCAATAGGCCCAAGCGACCCCTGCTTCCTAACACGGTTCTGTTAGGAAGGCTTGGAACACTGGTAAACAGAATAGAGGTAAGAATATTCTGCACTTAACAGGCCTTGCAGGCAGATAGTTTTTCTCTTTTTATCACATTACAACGTAGATACCATACCTGTATCATTTGTTCAACCACGGCTTCTAATATGCAGCCACAGTACTCGATCACGTCACCATTTCCGCATCTGCTTTCCTTGACTAGCCCAGTCTCCCTGAGAGCATCACAGTCATCTTCAGATACTTGGCATCTAGGAACCTCAAAAGTCGGCAACTGAGTACCTAGCAGGGCCAGGTGGTAAGAATAAACTAGCAGGGCCTCGTTTGGTGACGCTTCACTGGTGTAACCCTGGTGTTACTCTTTTGACAGTAAGGAAACTGTGAGCGAAGGGTCACAAAACTAGGAAACAGCAGACCCAGGATTCAAACCCACGTCTCCTGACTGGAGAGGCAGCCCCTGCCCCACACACCTGCAGAAGCTCTAGTGTTCAGTTAATGCTGGCACCGCCCACTCAGGCACCTGAGCCTTCACTTGCCTCAGGTGGCCCTGTTTACCAATGGGCAAGGCTGCACCTGTGGTTAGGCCTCCGGGTCATCTGAAAGCCGTAACACTCTAAAAAAGGGGTTTCTATGAAGATCAACTGTGAATTTATGGGCTAAATACTTTGAAAAAAACAATCAGATGTGGTACAAATGCAAGCTAGGCATAACAAGTAAATGGTTATGGCTTTTTCTAGGAAAAAATCAGGAAATAGTCCTACCGCATGAATACAGACTAATGGAGATGAAATATTTCCTTTAAGCTTTTACTGCAGCAGGTAAGTTCAAAATACCCTATAGTTAAACTGTGCATGAATCAGGAAGGAAGGACTACTGGGGTGGACCTGCTGGCAGGTCATCATGTGCAGGTTTATTGCAACTGGCTAAGAATGAATAAAGCTCTGTGCTCCTGGAAAACAGATGTTTGTGAAGCCAGCACGGCTGCTCTGTGGTTTGTTTTTTGAGACAAGGTCTCACTCTGTCACCCAGAATGGAGTGAAATTATGTAATCACGATTCAGTGCAGCCTCGACCTCCTGGGCTCAAGTGATCCTCCCACATCAGCTTCCCGAGTAGCTGGGACTACAGGTCCATGCCACCTGCCTGGCTGATTTTTTATTTTTATTTTGGTAGAGATGGGGTCTTGCTATGTTGCCCGGGCTGGTCTTAAGCTTCTGGCCTCAAGTGATCTTCCCCCCGCTTCCCAAAGTGCTGGGATTACAGGCATGAGCCACGGTGCCCAGCCTGAGTTCCTCTTGGGCAGATGTTCCCAATGGGAGGATCGGAAGCACCTGCTAATCATTTGCCCATGTTCCCCAGTAGAGTCTGATAATCTTTTTTTGAGACAGAGTCTTGCTCTGTTGCCCAGGCTGGAGTGTAGTGGCGTGATCTCGGCTCACTGCAACCTCTGCCTCCTGGGTTAAGTGATTCTCCTGCCTCAGACTCCTGAGTAGCTGGGATTACAGGTGGACACTACCATGCCCAGCTAATTTTTTTTGTATTTTTAGTAGAGACGGGGTTTCACCACGTTGGTCAAGCTGGTTTCAAAATCCTGACCTCATGATCCACCCACCTCGGCCTCCCAAAGTGCTGGGATTACAGGCATGAGCCACTACGCCCAGCCCCGAGTCTGATATTCTTGAGAGAAAAAGAAAAAAAAAGTTTATTCTGTGCATAGCTCCCTGGGTGATCGTGGCCATGCCTCTCTCTCCTGGTTTAGCTGAGAACTGCAGCTTCTAAGTCAAGTCACTGTCCCCACGGAGCCAGGGCTTATTTGGTCCATGTCTCCTTTGGTGCCTCAAATCAAATCATAACTTTTTTTTTTTTTGGAGACAGGCTCAACCTCCCCCGGGCTCAGGTGATCCTCCCACCTCAGCCTCCTGAGTAGCCGGGACTACAGGTGCACACCACCATACTCAGCTAATTTTTAAACTTTTTTGTAGAGATGGGTCTCGCCAAGTTGCCCAGCCTGGTCTCAAACTCCTGGCCTCAAGTGATCTGCCTGCCTCAGCCTCCCAAAGTGCTGAAATTACAGGTGTGAGCCACTGCGTCCAGCCCCATAACACCTTTTTCTCTGTGGGTGGAAGTGAACGTTCTGTGGTAAAAGCAAGGAGCTAAACAATCTGGTATCTTTTATACAGTGTCATTCTGATAAATTGGAAGCTCTCATTAATCCAATCCCACCCACCAGCTGATCTGGGCCTCATGAGGGACTGGGCGATCATGGACTTGTAGGCAGGAGTGGTCTTTATCTGTATAGACAACAGCCAGACAAATCAAGAGACAGGGCCACAGAACCAGGGAGGGTCAGAGCTAGGATTTTTTTATATTACCTAAGCCACCCTGCCGTTTAACACATGAGAAAACTAAGGTCCAAATACATTAGAGGAGCACCTTTCAACCTCAGCTACACATCACACTTACCTAAGGCACTTTACAGATGCCTGGCCCGGACCCCACAGCAGGGTCCGATTCAACAGCCCTGTGTAGGGGACTGTGGGATACTATGTTAAAGTGACTTGCCTAGGGTCACAGCCTGGGCTATACAGCCTTCTTTCACATCATACCACTGTCTTTCTAAAGAAAATGAGTTTAAAGCAAACTAGTATCAATTATCCAATATTTAAGGCATTCTGATAAGTCCCCTAACTATAAAACCTTTCCTAATAAATTGGCTGCTGCTGCAGATGAAGTCCAGGCCCCTTGTGATCTCCAGGCTTTCATGCTTACACTGAATCTGAGGATGGGGGGGCTGCTTAAGGAACAGCCTGGGGGTTAAGCGATCTCTCTCCCCTAGTCTGAAAGATAGTTCTTCCACAAGAGGGACACTGCAGACTACAGTTCCAGTGATGAGGCTCATGCTCCTGCCCTGTTCCCCAGGGACTAAGAGGCAGGCAGGGGAAGGTCCTACAAAGACTAGGAATGGGCTGGGCACAGTGGATCACTTTGGGAGGCCGAGGCGGGTGGATCACAAGGTCAGGAGTTTGAGACCATCCTGGCCAACATGACGAAACCCTGTTTCTACTAAAAATACAAAAATTAGAACAATGAGAACACATGGACAGAGGGAGGGGAGCATCACACACCAGGGTCTGTGGGGGGTAGGGAGTTGAGGAGGGATAACATGGGGAGAAATGCCAGATATAGGTTATGGGGAGGAAGGCAGCAAACCACATTTTTATGTACCTATGCAACAATCTTCCATGTTCTTCACATGTACCCCAAAACCTAAAATGCAATAAAATATATATTTTAAAAAATACAAAAATTAGCCAGGCATGGTGGGGCATGCCTGTAGTCCCAGCTAATCTGGAGGCTGAGGCACAAGAATTGCTTGAATCTGGGAGGAGGAGGTTGCAGTGAGCCAAGATCACACCATTGCACTCCAGCCTAGCAAAAGAGCGAGA